TTTTTAACTCCCAAAATATGGAAAAATTCATGGAAAAACGGCTTTTCCAGGTGATTTTTCCTCCCAAAACATGGGAAAATCCATGGAAAAATGGCTTTTCCAGGAGATTTTTTTCCCTCCAAAAAACATGGAAAAATCCTCTCAAATCCATGGAAAAACGGCTTTTCCGGGTGATTTTTCCTCCCAAAACATGGAAAAATCCATGGAAAAACGGCTTTTCCGGGTGATTTTTCCTCCCAAAACATGGAAAAATCCATGAAAAAACGGCTTTTCCAGGTGATTTTTTCTCCCAGATTATGGAAAAATCCAACTCAAATCCATGGAAAAACGGCTTTTCCAGGATGGAAAAATCCAACTCAAATCCATGGAAAAACGGCTTTTCCAGGTGATTTTTCCTGCTGGGCCTCCTGGACCTGTTCAAATCCATGGAAAAACGGCTTTTCCGGGTGATTGTTTTCCCTCCCAAAACGTGGAAAAATCCAACTCAAATCCATGGAAAAACGGCTTTTCCAGGAGATTTTTTCTCCCAGATTATGGAAAAATCCTCTCAAATCCATGGAAAAACGGATTTTCCAGGAGATTTTTAACTCCCAAAATATGGAAAAATTCATGGAAAAACGGCTTTTCCAGGTGATTTTTCCTCCCAAAACATGGGAAAATCCATGGAAAAACGGATTTTCCAGGTGATTTTTCCTCCCAAAACGTGGGAAAATCTATGGAAAAACGGCTTTTCCAGGTGATTTTTTTTTCCTCCAAAAAACATGGAAAAATCCGCCCAAATCCATGGAAAAACGGCTTTTCCAGGTGATTTTTAACTCCCAAATCATGGAAAAATCCAGCTCAAATCCATGGAAAAACGGCTTTTCCAGGTGATTTTTTCCTCCAAAAAACATGGAAAAATTCATGGAAAAACGGATTTTCCGGGTGATTTTTTCTCCCAGAACATGGAAAAATCCTCTCAAATCCATGGAAAAATGGCTTTTCTGGGTGATTTTTCCTGTTGGGCCTCCTGGATCTGCTCAAATCCATGGAAAAATGGCTTTTCCGGGTGATTTTTAACTCCCAAAACATGGAAAAATCCATGGAAAAACGGATTTTCCAGGTGATTTTTAACTCCCAGATCATGGAAAAATCCATGGAAAACGGCTTTTCCGGGTGATTTTTTTCCCTCCCAAAACGTGGAAAAATCCAGCTCAAATCCATGAAAAAACGGCTTTTCCGGGTGATTTTTCCTCCCAAAACATGGAAAAATCCATGGAAAAATGGCTTTTCCAGGTGATTTTTTCTCCCAGATCATGGAAAAATCCTCTCAAATCCATGGAAAAACGGATTTTCCAGGAGATTTTTAACTCCCAAAATATGGAAAAATTCATGGAAAAACGGCTTTTCCAGGTGATTTTTCCTCCCAAAACATGGGAAAATCCATGGAAAAATGGCTTTTCCAGGAGATTTTTTTCCCTCCAAAAAACATGGAAAAATCCTCTCAAATCCATGGAAAAACGGCTTTTCCGGGTGATTTTTCCTCCCAAAACATGGAAAAATCCATGGAAAAACGGCTTTTCCAGGTGATTTTTAACTCCCAAATAATGGAAAAATCCTCTCAAATCCATGGAAAAATGGCTTTTCTGGGTGATTTTTCCTGTTGGGCCTCCTGGATCTGCTCAAATCCATGGAAAAACGGATTTTCCAGGTGATTTTTTTCTCCCAAATCATGGAAAAATCCTCTCAAATCCATGGAAAAACGGCTTTTCCGGGTGATTTTTCCTCCCAAAACATGGAAAAATCCATGGAAAAACGGCTTTTCCAGGTGATTTTTAACTCCCAAATCATGGAAAAATCCAACTCAAATCCATGGAAAAACGGCTTTTCCAGGTGATTTTTAACTCCCAAATAATGGAAAAATCCTCTCAAATCCATGGAAAAATGGCTTTTCTGGGTGATTTTTCCTGTTGGGCCTCCTGGATCTGCTCAAATCCATGGAAAAACGGATTTTCCAGGTGATTTTTTTCTCCCAAATCATGGAAAAATCCTCTCAAATCCATGGAAAAACGGCTTTTCCAGGTGATTTTTCCTCCCAAAACGTGGGAAAGACCCACTGGGAATTAGGGAAAACACCTTTTCCGAAGGGTTTTTCCCTCTGGCAGCACCCAAGACGTGGAAAATCCCTGCTCCAAAGCAGGGAAAAAAGGGATTTTCCCGTTTATTTTTCCATCCTGGATCTGTGGAAAAATCCCGTTCCGAAGCAGGGAAAATGAGTTTTCCACCTTAATTCCCTCCGGAATGACGGGAAAAATCCTGCTGGGAAAAATCCTGCTGGAAACAGGGAAAAATTTGGTTTTTTTC